CAGCCCGATTCGTAACCACTACGCTACCAGAGAGATGATAATGTTGCCTTCAGAAGTGTATAGGCCCAGCCAGAGGATATATATAGAGACAATAGCTTCATATTTTGGTATTTTTGTTTAGTAACGTTGCTATGATTTTGTAGCAATACTTTTTGACTTACCCTAGTAAAAGCCAGTTTCTTTCCATTGAAATAGTGCATTAAAATATTTATTTACAAGTAGAGAACTTAAATGCTAGAAATTGAAGCCACTTGAAGACAAAATCAAAACAGGGAAAAAGGGAAGGATAAAGAGAAAGTAAAAGATCCAAGGAAGAAGAAAGGCAAATAAAAGAAGTTGATAATAGCATCTTTGAAATTGTGATTCTAGAAAAAAAGGAGAAGATAGAATTTACCAAAAATTAATTTGCATGTAACTTTTCCAGTGATTTTATGAGGTTCTGTATCTCCCTGTGTCTCCCTCCCTCCAGTTCCTCTCCTCTGCAGGCACATTCATCTCCTGTGAGAATTCTTTAAAATATATTGCAAGAGTTAACCTCTTTGTCAGCACTGTGCCAGGTCACCCCAAAATAGAAAATGGCAGCATTACTTCTGTAAACTTGCTTGCCATACCTCTACCCAGACATTATTAAAAATCAGCAGCACATTTTTCACCTTTCCATGCTGAGATTTTGTAAACATAGTTTTATTTCTTCCGCAGTAAGTGAAAGTTAGCCCATAAGAGACAAATAATTATTTGGGTAATGGCTGCGGTTGCTTAAATGATCTCTTCTGTATTAAAAAAATCAATTATTGTTTCTTAAATTTTCTCTACGCGATCGTTAATTCTCTATGTAGATTTATTAGACTCCTCTGAGTTAATTATATTTTGAAAACTTGGGGGGGTGAAATTTTTGTATTATAGTCAGTGTAAATCTTTTCATTTCCTAAAATTGTCCTTAAGAACATCATTTTAAAAATGCATTGAAGTATATTTTACAATCACTTAATCAGATGCTTTGATCTCATATATTTGCATGATATTGCCTCTTTGGGGGTGAAGTTTTCAGACTGCGTAGTTTTCCAAAAGGTCCAATTGGTCCAATGCTGCCATCTGGTGGTCATTTAGGTGCTTTAATTTGTCACATTTCTATAACAGTTCCGTATCTTTAAATGAGTATAGCCATGATTGTTCTTTTAGTAATCTTTACGACGATCTCTTTTCGGATCTCACAATCTTTTTTTTTTTTTTTTTTTTTAAGTAAAATGTCTCCTGTTCTGTTCTTTGGCTAATAAAAAATGACATTTTATTCCGTAGTAGTCCTGCGCCAGACTGCAAAGCTGTTTGGACTGCAAGGTCGGTGGTTCAAGCTCACCAGCTGCTCCTCAGAAACCCTGTGCAGGGTTGCTATGGGTCGGAACCGACTCAACGGCACTTCACAACAACAAGAGTAGTTCTATGGCCACTTTCTGGACTCATAAGTTTTTGGGTTTTTTTACCCAAAATGAGGAATCCTGGTGCAGCACTGTGGGTTAATGCGCTGAACTGTAAGGTCAGTTTGAACCGCAGGGTCGGCGGTTCAAGCCTACCAGCCGCTCCTCGGAAACCCTAAACAGGGTCGCTATGAGTCAGGACCGACTTGAAGGCACTTAACAACCTGAAGTGAAAGAGCAGAGCAGCCAAATGAGGACAAAATGGTGATGCACCTTCTTGCTGTGGGCAGAAAGTTTTCAAACCAAGTAGCTATAGAGATAGCGCAGCATCAGCGCCCCCTAGACAATGGTTTACTGCTGGCTGAAGGAAGAGAATAAAGCTGGTACACCGACTGGAAAAGATATGGTCCAGGCAGGGCGGTACAAGACAGTGTGTGGGGGCCATATGATGATGATCCCTGGTCCACATCATAGGTGACAGATGTCATTTGTTCATGTAATATTGACAGAAGAGAGTAGAGATGAGATCAGAAAGCTTTCAGACTTAGAGATAATGCACAGGCATTTGCCCCCCTATTCCTATATTAGGAGTCCTGGTCTTGCGTTGTGAGATAATGCACTGGACTAAAAGGTCGGTTTGAACTGCAAGGTCAGCGGTTCAAGCTTCTCAGAAACCCTTTACAGGCATTTAACAAGAACACCAAACAACATTCCTATGTAAAAGCCACTCCTCCCACCTGCTGCCCCATTTATAGAAAAATTCCTTAACAGGTCTGTTGCTCTTTGCCTTGGTCTTGGGAGAAAGTTCTCTCTTTGTGTGCCCATGCCCATGCAGGATTCCCAAGAGGGTTTGCAGAGGTTTAAAACTGAGGAACTACAGGCTGTGGCAAGCTGCAGACTGCCCACAGGCGACCAGTTGACAGTGTTTCCACACTAAGTTTCTCCAAACTCGGTCTCCCCAGGCATAGTGCTTGGTGATAAAGAAAGAAAAAGCCAATTTCTAAATCAGCAATTCTCCAGAGAGCAAGGAGGCTATGCTATGTCAAAACACATTTTTCATGTTAGGCTATGATTTTATATGTAGAAGACATCAATGTACACGATGTACTTTTATATCATCCACATTTATAAATATTTATCTATAGAACATGAAACATACCTATTGTTTTCATTCTACAAACTTCAGAAATTAAAGCTTGAACCAATCATTTTGCTTGATGAGATCATTCTCAAGAGGAAAAGGGCAAAGCCCCACCACACTCCCACGCCCCTCCAGGGTGTTATCTCAGAATCTCCAAGGGTGAGTGAATTTTATTTTCATTAAGAGGTGAGATTTAAATGCTAGTCAATTCAAAACAGAATTGAGTCCTACCTAAACACTGCTCCTTGTCTATTTATCTTGCATATTAAAATCAGATCAACCAATATTTATGAAACACCTATTACATGCAAGGCATTATACGTCAACAAACAACTTATTTCTGAAATACACATTAGTTGAAGGGTGAGGTGTTCCATAACCTGAGAAATCTTCACTTTTAATGCTATGTTCCCCTAATATAGTTAAAACATGAATTGCAAACTAAGAATATTTCATATGCAACTTTTCAGAAAGATGTCTACCCCACGACGTCAATAAATATCCCTTGGTGGCTATGAGTTAATATACTCTGCCCCTCCCCCCTATCTCTGTACTGAAACAACAGACTTGATTGCTTCTCTCTACTCTTCAAGCACCCCCTCCCCAACTTGCTTAAAACCCTTAATGGCTCCCTGCTGTCACCATTTTGAAGCCTAAACTCCTTAATATGACTTAGGAAGCTCAACAAGATCAGGAATGCCTACCTAATTGGCCTTATCTCTTGTCAGTTCTTACCCCTTACAACACATCCATGCTCTGCCCCCATAAAACACATCTCATTTTCTGAAAAAGCCATGGTTTTGTTCTGGGGATTTTACATACCAGGCCTTCATAGTACCGAAAGCTGTGTGGTTGGTTATGTGCTGTCGAGTCGGTTCCGACTCATAGCGACCCTGTACAGGGTTTCCGAGGCTGTTAATCTTTACGGGAGCAGAAAGCCTCGTCTTTCACTTTGTCTTCCATTATACTGGAAATTCCATGAGAATCAATAGCATCCTGTGCATTCCTGTATTCTCAAGGTCTATCACAGTGCCTGGCACATTGTTGTTGTTATGTGCCATCCAGTTAGTTCTGACTCATAGCGACCCTGTACAGGGTTTTCAAGAAGCAGCTAGTGGGTTTGAACCACCAACCTTGTGGTTAGCAATCTAGTGCTTATCCTACAATACCATGCCAGGACTCCAAGTGGCACATATTGTTGTTGTTATATGCCATCGAGTCAGTTCCGACTCATAGTGACCTTGTATACAATTTCAAGGAGCAGCTGGTGGGTTTGAACTGCCAACCTTATCATTTGCAGTCCAGTGCTGATCCTACAGCGCCACAGCAGGATCCTGACTGGCACATTGTTAAGATGTTGTTAAGTACCATGGAGTCGGTTCCGACTCATAGCGACCCTATACAGGGTTTCCAAGGCTATAAATCTTTACGGGAGCAGAAAGCCTCATCTTTCTCCCGCGGAAGCGCTGGTAGTTTCGAACTGTCGACCTTGAGGTTAGCAGCCCTATACGTAACCACTATGCTACCAGAGCTCCTTGACTGGCACATAGTAGATGCTAAATAAGCTGGAGTTGAATGTATTAAGGTATATGTTATTTAATCGCCTCCAATTCAGTGGTACATATGATGCTATTTGATTTTGCCTTTGTTTCATTGCAGTCAGTGATGCTCCTCTTACACAGTCAGCGGCGTTACATCTTTGAGTACGACCAATCGGATTGCCTGCTCTCAGTCACTATGCCTAGTATGGTGCGCCACAGCCTACAAACCATGCTTTCAGTGGGTTACTTCCGGAACATCTATACTCCCCCCGACAGTAGCACTTCTTTCATCCAAGACTATAGTCGAGATGGTCGGCTGCTACAGACCCTGCATCTGGGGACAGGGCGCAGAGTTCTGTACAAGTACACCAAACAAGCAAGGCTGTCTGAAATTCTCTATGATACCACTCAGGTCACATTAACTTATGAAGAATCTTCCGGAGTAATTAAGACAATACATCTGATGTATGACGGCTTCATTTGCACCATCAGATACAGACAAACAGGTTTGTGGGGGGAAAGTGGTGATGTGACAACATCCGTATTTCCTTATGAAATGTTTGCTGAGCACAGTCTAAGATAAAGATATTAACCTCTAGACATTCAATCCAACAGACTTTCACTTTAGTTATCAAATCATCTTCCATTGAAAAATAAAAACATGTATTATAGGCTGCATGAAAGCTGATTCCTTAAAAACAGTATATCTCTCTCAACTCTCAAGAAAACTGAAAGCTAAGTACCTAGTTTAATTGTTCTCCTGTTCCTACCCACCACCACATCGCCCAAAGATGCAGGTGCAAGATATGAATCTCATTGAAACTAGCTCAAGCCCTATGTTACTTTTATGAGCCCCAGCTGGTGACAGACAGCTTCAAAAGTCGGAACTTTAAACTGCATTTCATTCTTTGGGTGTAGAAAAAGGCCCAAATGCGGTCACTTTCATATTGGACCTTGCCAAACCTGACCCTCTGACATTCATTGTAGCTCGGGTTAAATGACATTAAAACTTTTTTTTTTTTCAGTGATTAGAGTAAGAAAACATGGTTATACTCTAGTTGCATGACCCTAGGTTACTGGATGAGTTATTACTCTTATAGTTCTTGTAATTAAATTATCCTATACCCATACAGGAGCTCTGGTAGCGTAGTGGTTACGAATTGGGCTGTGAACCTTAAGGTCAGCAGTTCGAAACTGCCAGCTGCTCCGCGGGAGAAAGATGAGGCTTTCTACTCCCGTAAAGATTTACACCCTCGGAAACCCTGTACAGGGTCGCTATGGGTCGGAACCGACTCAACGGCACTTAACAACAACAACAACATACCCATACTGAATCCTGGTGGCGCTGTGAGCTAGGTGTCTGGGCTGCTGACCACAAGGTTGCTGAGTCAAACCCACCAGCTGCTCCACGGGGGGAAAAAAACGAGGTCATCTGCTCCTAAAAACGTAGTCTCAAAAACCCTACGTAGGGTTGCTCTGAGTCGAAATCAACTTGATGGCAGTGGGTTGGAGGTTTGCTTTATTATTTTTTTTAATGACCATGTTGTTGTTGTTAAGTGCCATCGAGTCAGTTCCGACTCATAGTGACCCTGTATAGGTTTCTGAGGAGCAGCTGGTGGGTTTGAACTGCCGACCCTGTGATTCACAGTCCAGTGCTGATCCTACAGAGCCACACCAGGAGTCCCTTAATAGTCATACTATACAGTGTTTTTCAAATGTTTCCATGGTTGCTGACCACCACTATGAGTATATATATATATATTTATATATGTATATATATATATATAGAATGATATGCTCAGACAATAGATAGCAGAGGTCAATCTATAATATTTTATTTTGAATGTAAAATCACCAATAACAAACAGCACTAGACCTTTCTGATTGCTCAACATCTATCGCCTACCTTTGTTATCATGGTTATTATCATTTTGCTTCCTACAGGCCCTCTCATTGGACGCCAGATTTTCCGATTCAGTGAAGAAGGTCTTGTGAATGCACGCTTTGACTACAGCTACAACAACTTCCGTGTCACCAGCATGCAAGCTGTTATAAATGAAACACCTTTGCCCATAGATCTGTACCGCTATGTTGATGTCTCTGGTAGAACAGAACAATTTGGAAAATTCAGTGTCATTAATTATGATTTAAATCAGGTCATAACTACCACAGTGATGAAGCACACCAAGATCTTCAGCGCCAATGGTCAAGTGATTGAAGTCCAATATGAAATCTTAAAGGCAATTGCCTATTGGATGACAATCCAATATGACAATATGGGCCGCATGGTAATATGCGATATAAGAGTAGGAGTAGATGCCAATATCACAAGATACTTCTATGAATACGACGCTGATGGACAACTTCAAACTGTTTCTGTAAATGATAAAACCCAGTGGCGTTATAGTTATGACCTGAATGGAAACATCAACCTGTTAAGCCATGGGAATAGTGCTCGTCTTACTCCTCTCCGATATGACCTCCGGGACCGTATCACCAGACTGGGAGAAATTCAGTATAAAATGGATGAAGATGGCTTTCTGAGGCAGAGGGGAAATGATGTGTTTGAATACAATTCTAATGGTCTGCTGCAGAAAGCCTACAACAAGGCTTCTGGCTGGACTGTGCAGTATTACTATGACGGGCTTGGGCGACGTGTCGCCAGTAAGTCCAGCCTAGGGCAGCACCTGCAGTTCTTTTATGCAGACCTTGCCAACCCCATAAGAGTTACTCATTTGTACAACCACACAAGCTCAGAGATTACATCTCTGTATTATGATCTCCAAGGCCACCTTATTGCCATGGAGCTAAGCAGTGGGGAAGAATATTATGTTGCCTGTGATAATACAGGCACCCCACTAGCTGTGTTCAGCAGCCGAGGTCAGGTGATAAAAGAGATATTGTACACTCCTTATGGAGATATCTACCATGACACTTACCCTGACTTTCAGGTCATCATTGGTTTCCATGGAGGACTCTATGATTTCCTTACTAAATTAGTGCACCTGGGGCAACGGGATTATGATGTTGTTGCCGGTAGATGGACAACACCGAATCATCACATATGGAAACACTTGAACCTCCTTCCTAAGCCATTCAACCTCTACTCCTTTGAAAATAATTACCCAGTTGGCAAAATTCAAGACGTTGCAAAGTATACTACAGGTATTTGTACAACTAAATAAAAAACGTTTCTATTGTATATCACCTAAACTCATTGTCTTTGTAAATGTGATCCCTTTTCATGCCCATTACTCTGTATTCACTCTCTTCCTTGGTTTTCTAGAGGGAGCAAGACTGTGAACGTTAGCACAAAACATGATGCTGTTGTCATCCCCATGCATTTTTTTTTTCTTTCATTTTAGACTGTTCCTAGGTGTGTTTTGCACTCTCAAAATGTTATCTGAATAATTTCAAAAAATAAAACTGCAGGATTATGCCCCATCAATGAAATCTACTATCACAGACTATGTGGCCCAAGTATTACTATCATATTAAGAGCTTCAATGCATTGAGCCTATGTTTGGGATTGTTCACAAATGGAGAGGTTTCCCTGTACAGAAAGGTTCACCTGTTTTAGAGTGGGGAGTACTAGAGGGAATTCTAGCCCTAACTTCCCATTGCCTAAATTTCTTGAGGCTACAAGAGCAGCTTTCAACAAAGATTATACAGTATGCTTCACTTTTTTTTCTTTGACGTCTTGTGTCTCACAGATATTGGAAGTTGGTTGGAGTTATTTGGTTTCCAGTTACACAATGTGCTACCTGGATTTCCAAAACCTGAATTAGAAAATTTGGAATTAACTTATGAACTTCTGCAACTTCAAACAAAAACACAAGAGTGGGATCCTGGAAAGGTTAGTAAAAGTTTTACCTTCTCTATTTTGTTGTTGTTGTTGTTATGTGCCCTGGAGTTGGTTCCGACTCATCGCGACCCTACACAGGGTTTCCGAGGCTGTAAATCTTTATGGGAGCAGACCGCCTCATCTTTCTCCCACGGAACTGCTGGTAGTTTCGAACTGCTGACCTTGCGGCTCGCAGTCTGATTCATAACCACTACGCCTTTATTTTAGTGAGGAAAAAAACAGCAAACCAATAAAACTAAAAACCGCAGAACACTGAACACCATGGCAGGTATTGACCTATATCTTCTTATTTATTTTTCAGTCTTTTTTAAGATTCACTGAGATATCTGTGATTAAAGAGGAGGTAGATAAAAAGGATAAGGGAACTAGAGATGACTTGAAGGCTGCTATGATAGGTAAACAAGAAGAAAAATGAACTTTCAGAATTCTGGATTGGGCAACCAAGGTCTATATAGAGAAAATTGTTCACTAAGAAACACAAAAATATCTGATTCCCAATGATAAAATAATTTGGCAAATAGCGCATTAATATGTGGGAATAAAATAATTAAAATAATTTTGATAATGAGAGCTTACCAGAGAACTGAAGCAAGGATAATAAATACTACATTTGTTGCAAACATATCTATGAATGTGGTGAAGCATAAAGGGGCAAAATGATGAAAACTTTTTAGACAATACCAAACACTTTAAGGGAATGATTCCCTGAGCCTCGGGACTCAGGACCATAGTCTCAGGGAACACCAAGATCAATTGGCATGACATAGTCCACACAAAGACCACATTCTACATCCAACTTTGGTGAGTAGCGACTGGGATCTTAAAAGTTCTACTGTGCGGAGGAAAGGAAATTGATGAAAACTGAAGACACTTGTAAATAATTAGTCCAATGGACGAATGGGACATGTTAACATCAGTCTCCACAACCCTGAGACCAGAAGAACTAGATGATGCCCAGCTACCACCATCAAATGTTTTGAAAGGGAACACAATAGAATGCCCTGGATTGAATGTGAGAAAATGTGGACTAAAACTCAATAGTATAAAAAAGACCAGGCTTACTGGTCAGAAAAAGACTGGTGTAACTCAAGACTATGGCCTTCAGTCACCCTTAAGATCTGGAACAGATCTTATGGCTCAATAACCCTCATGGCTCAATATTCAGCTAACGTGTAGATGGGTATATAGCGGGAACAACAACACCAGTGAGATGTACTCACCATGGAATGGTCAACCATTCAAGATTAAAAGGGCAGCATTTACCTAAGGAGGTAATCATTTAAGAAGGGTTGAGGGTTGAACAGAAATAAGAATCATTGAGAGGAAGTGGGATAACTGTTGTTCCATGGAGGGCATTGCAATCATTGAGATGAAACAAGGTGTATTGCTTGTTGAATGTAAAACTGAGGATCTTCTCTGTAAACTTTCCCTCAATTCACGATAAAAAGTTTAAAATTTTTTATTTTAAAAAAAAAGAATAATAAACACTCCAGAATTGAAAATAAGTCTGGAAAATATGAATACCAGCTGCAATTCAAAACTCAACATGTATGAGGTACAAACAGAAACACAATGCACCTTTTTTTTTTTTTTACTTAAAAAGAAAATAAGAATATCTGTGCTTGAAACTAATTGTCTTCAACAAAATCAAACTGAAATTTGGGTGGGAATATTTTTTAAAGTATAAGACAAAGACAAGAGTCATTGATAGTTTAATGGGTGAAAATGTGTGCATTTGAGGGGAGCTGGACCCACTTAACTTTAAGTGCCTTCTAGCTCTGAGATTCTGCTATCAATTGTGAAGCTGTTTTTTTTAATGGTCAACTCAATCGTGATATTAAATACATGCCAGGTGACAAAGTCACCTGTTAGTCTTTTCTTTTCCAAATCTCTGAAGAAGAGGTTCCAAATTTCACCGGTTTTTAAATCACTCGCCATCAAAGTAAAGCTAGAAGGAAGCAGCCTTGCGAGCCTTTTTTAAAGTTTTCATGAGCACCAAGCACATGGCTAATCCTAGGCTGCATTTGCACTGTGCCTTTTCTTTTTCCTAGACTATCCTGGGTATTCAGTGTGAGCTACAGAAACAGCTCAGGAATTTCATTTCCTTGGACCAACTTCCCATGACTCCTCAGTATAGCGATGGACGGTGCCTTGAAGGAGGGAAACAACCAAGGTTTGCTGCGGTTCCTTCTGTTTTTGGAAAAGGTATCAAATTTGCCATTAAGGATGGCATAGTAACAGCTGATATTATAGGAGTAGCCAATGAAGATAGCAGGCGGCTTGCTGCCATTCTCAATAATGCTCATTACCTGGAAAACCTACATTTTACCATAGAGGGGAGGGACACTCACTACTTTATTAAGCTTGGATCTCTGGAGGAAGACCTGGTACTGATCGGTAACACTGGGGGGAGGCGGATTCTGGAGAATGGTGTCAATGTCACTGTGTCCCAGATGACTTCTGTGTTGAATGGAAGGACTAGACGGTTTGCAGATATCCAGCTCCAGCATGGGGCTCTGTGCTTCAACATCCGGTATGGGACAACTGTGGAAGAGGAGAAGAACCACGTGTTGGAGATTGCCAGACTTCGAGCTGTGGCCCAGGCCTGGACTAAGGAACAAAGAAGGCTGCAAGAAGGGGAAGAGGGTCTTCGGGCATGGACAGAGGGTGAAAAGCAGCAGCTTTTGAGCACTGGGAGGGTACAAGGTTATGATGGGTATTTTGTTTTATCTGTTGAGCAGTATTTAGAACTTTCTGACAGTGCCAACAATATTCACTTTATGAGACAGAGCGAAATAGGCAGGAGGTAACAAAAGAAATCTCTGCCTTTGCGTCACCAAAGACTGCCTGTTTTTAAAACACAAAATGGTTTATTGTATTGGTTTTCTAGATCACAATTCTCTCTCTATAAATATAGAGGAAAAAAAAAAAAAACATATCCAACTGCCTTTCAATGTGACGGAAGATGGTATTTTAATATTGTTTGTTTAAACTCTTTAAGAAATGACAGAGATTTTTAGTTCTTGTGTGGCAGTATTCAAAATAACACAAGTAGAACTCAAACAGCTTAAAAAAAGAAAACATTTTTTCAGAAAGCACCACTTAAAATGTGTCAAGCCATGCCTATGTTCAAATATATAGAATGAACCTAAGGTTCTCTATCTATTATGACACAAAGTTTCATATTTAACTGTTGGCAGAACTGGCAGGCTATTTTCAAAGATGGTGCAATAGTATCGGAACCTCAAATTTCCAAAGACTGCCAGTCCCTTTCACATTTTCCAGATCTGTTATAGAGAACTAAAAGACGAGTGTAAACTGTCCTCAGCAACCATCTCTTAGAGTCAGGATCCATTGGCCCTCCTCCCTTATTATTCTTCCTTGCTCGTTCCAGTGAATGCCATGATGTTGTGCTGTGTTTTGGCGTGTGGTGGCTGGGTTCTGTCAACTATGCTTTCATGTTAGTGTGGTGAGCAAACCGAATAGCCACTATTTGCTTGTGTTTACATGACACCCAAGCAGCTGGTCAACTGGTTTTGGCAAAAGTGCTTTTTTTTTTTTTAAAACAATTGTGCAGATGTATTGGTGTCATGTAAGCATAGCTTTTATTAACCCAGATAGGAATTTCTCATCTATATATAGGGTGTGTTTTGGTCATAGTTTTAATTACATCTGTGATTCAGTATTTATACATTAATCCAATGGTTTTGTGCACATGAAAGGTAATTTACTAAGAAGTATGACCCTGGTACCAAAACCAAAACAAGGCTTTAGCAGGAGTTGGCAGACATGATGCCTAGTACGTCGATAAACACATCAACTACTGCAGAAATTCATAAGAGCCAAACCCTTAGGAAACAGGCCTAGTACTAAGGTGAAAGGAAAGTACCAAAGGGAAGACTGAACCAAACAGCATGATAGCTGCTGCTGCATTGTTTAAACCCACTTGGATTTATCTTTCAAATGTACCATTCTTGACTGAACATCTCCTAACCATATTCAGGAAATTTAATTAAGTGAACCTTTTCCAAATGAAAACATTTCAACTAATTCTAGAAAGGCAGATGATTTTTAATTATTATCTTTTATAGGGTTTAGTTCTTTTCAGTGTTCTGTCGTTATGCATTTTTGTTAAATCATCTTTCCTACCAGGAGGGGTTCTTTTGTTTTGTGATCATTTAAGATTGGGGGGAAAAAAAGAAAAGAATCCGGATTAGTGTTAATATCCACTGCAGTTTCTCAATCTCAATGAATACTGCGGGAAAAGAAGTCCCTTGGTGAGCTACGAGATTTGTGTCCAGTGACAAAGAGACCGTTTGTAAAATGGTGTGTAATTGTAAGTTACCACAAATGAAAATACATGATAGCACAATGTGGCCTGTGGAAAATTCCCCTGAGTCAGTTTCAACACTCTTCATCACCGAGTCTGGACATTTGCTATGTCTGAAGGAGAATTTATGATGGAATGTTACAGTTTGGGTTATTTCCAGCTACTACCTAAATGCAGTGTGGGCTCATTGCCTTGCTTTGTAATGACAGTTTCTTTGAAAATATGCAAAGTCAGGATCCAGGCTCATATTAAGGTTTTTCTTTTTCTTTTTCTTTTTTTTAAGAGTCTGGCTCCTACCACACAGGGACCTTGAAGAGAGTAGGGAAGGTGTATTCAAACATTTCATTTTCAATACCTTCAAGTGGGGATAACCACATTCTTACACGTGTATTCCAAAAAAAGTAAGAGAGAATTGATGCAGAACTCATCTCTTTTTTTAAATTGAAAGCTCACTAGCGCAAAAAATTGCTAATCCAGACTAAAATTATATGATTGGGTTTTTCCTGAATTAGGCCTATGTTAATGACACAATATTTATTCAGGAGAGAATTTTACAACTACTAATAAACTTGTTGAAAAATTGAATACCTCCACACCAGCCTAAGAATGGACCTTAAGTTCTTAGAACCTCTGATGTTCTTTTAAATTATTGGAAAAAATAATTTATGAACTGTATATAGAGAGTGCATTCATAAATGTGATGATGTATTTTACCACTAATCCAAGATATCAATATTAGAGTCTATTTTGCTTATATTTTAAGTGATTATACTTTTTTGCAATTCACTGATGATGTATCATTTTCAGACTGCGTTAAATATCCATTAGAAACAAATATTTGAAGCTTTTACTTAATAGTAATTACCTTGAACTGTGCATTTCTAGTTTGTAATACATATTTAGTTAGTTTGTGCCTTTAGTTTCTTAAAGTTATACTTGTATTATATTCAGGAAATGCACTTTTTATCACTTATAGCTGTGGTTTTAATACTGCCTTGAACTATTACTGTTCTCTTGACCACTCCCAAAGTTTTGGGGAAGAAAGAAAAATGATGGCATTACTAAGTAGAAAATCTAAGAGAAACATTTTGGCATTTCTTAATAAGAACTTGGAAAGATTGAGTATATCGCTTCCAATTCAGCTGAGTAGAAAGGATGCCTTCATCACTGACTTGCAGTTCTGAAGTTTAAATTAATGAAAGAACCATTCATTTGCATTTTCTAATGAAAGTAAAAGCATTTATAATAGAGAAATTTATACATTTCTCATACCCAAAAGACATAGGTAACTGACACTACACAGTCACATGCCATTCAAGTAAGTTAGAGGGAGAGCACAGTGGTTGGGCTCTCCCATAAAGAATACATGTCTCCGCAGTTGTTTCTTTTTGCTCATTAGGCCCATCTTATTAGTGAGTTTTTGTTTTGTTTTGATTCTTGCACTATAGTCTAGAAACCCAAATGACCTGAAAAGTACAGTTTACCAGACATTTAAACACATTTCTTTTTAGTTGCCATTCTAATCATGACTGGTTAGAAGCATGACTCCTGAAGGAAAGAGAATTAAAACCCAATTCATTCTCTCTCTCTTTCAGCAAATCACTTGCCATATAAATAAGCATATGTTGTATTTTTAACCCCACAAAATACTGTATGAAATAAACATGTCCTTTACTGTCATCTTATCTAGAAGATCTATAATATATAGACTATATATAATATATTGTATACAACATAGCCAAATGTATGAAAACCTAACAATGTATAATTCGGAATCCACATGCTCATTACATAGAGAGCTATCAAATCAAGCTATCATTTTCAGAAGGCTTTTCGTTTTCATTACTATTGAACTGGTGTCATTGGATAGCTATTCTTCTTCTTCTTTATTTATTTATTTTTTATTTGTTTTTAACCAGACCAGGCCCCACGGTAATATAATCTGACAGTCAGGGCAAAGTTTTTGTGTTTATAAAGATGTGTTCACATAAGGGCAATAGTAACGTAGTTCAGTGATAACGGAAGCAAAAGTATAGTAACAAGTATTGAAAGAAACTTTTGGAGAGATTGGATTGTGTCATAGAGCATGTGGACAGACAGAAGGCTACAAATTGGATGCAACATTCTTGCTTGGAGGAACTCACGCACACATAGCTGACTTGACTAGTACTTCAGCGCTTCCACAGCCTTCTGTAAGGATTTTTATTCTGCAAAAACAAGCAAACAAACAAAAGTAATTTTAAAAATCGAAAACAACAAAAAAGAATTCAGCCACAAAATAATGACTGTTATGTCCGTGAGTCCTTCATATGAAAGCTATTAAGGACCAAATATACTACTGTGTGTAAGAAGAAATTACTTCCTAACAGTAACTGAAAATACTTAGAGTTAAACTTGCTGTGGATTTTGTCTTGGCAGTTGTCATCTTACATTATTTGTCAAAGGAAATGTGTTTGGCACTTAAAAAAAAATAATATTTCCTTAGATTTAGTGGTGGACTTTAACCTCTTAAATAAATGTTATTATATCAGATTGTGTCCTTGAAAAATATTTTACTTGTATGAATCATGACAATGTCTAAATCTTTACTATTCTTCTGGCAAAAGCATCAGTAAGAGAGAAGGAGAAAAAAGAGTATATAGCCTTTATGTCAGAAAAATATTCTTTTTAGCTGCTTACTTTCTCATGAAAAGTAAAGATGTTTACAGTGTATGCCAAGATTTTCAGTTTCTATATAACAACAGTTAGAGGTTCTAATCATACTGAAAATTGTGTTATAAAGGCCTGAGCCATGTTGCTAGGAAACAATAGGTTCCAATTTTGTATTCCTGCTCTCACTCCTGTGCTGAAAAGTGACTGGATACTGTACAGGTTCATGTTCTCTGGCTGCAGTTAAATGGTCTTTTGCATTTTGCTCTGGCTTTCAGGCCAGAAGCATGCATTTTTCTACAAGAGCATCACAACAACATGCTGTAAATATTTAAAGTTAAACATTATGTGTCGATATTTGAAAGGAAAAAAGTACTTTGAATATTTCATTTTTAAAAAATAAAATTGCAAATGAACACTGTGTCCCCATTTTATTCATGCGCCAAACTGCATTGTCAAGTCAGCCTGGTCACCTGAGATATGGGAAGCGGCTCCCTAACAGCAAACAATAAAGCTGAGGCATCTTGAAAATGTAGGTTCAGAAATAAAAAAGGCACGAATGCTAGACAGACATCTCTTCATTTTTAGTTTTCATACGAATGGGATCTCTGACACAAATGGCCATTTAATAAACAAAAACTAGGCACTGCTGCAAATTTGAATACCTCTAGACTATGGCTTTTTTTTTTTTTTTTTTTTTTTTGGCCTTTTTCAGCAATAGAAAGAAAATAACGAATTGCAAAGAAAAAAAAAAAAAAGTAGGGGAGAACTAAGGGACCGGCATTCAAATATATTGGGGAAAAAATGGATGTGGGGAGACAATGGTGAAGACTAGAAACCAAGAGCTTCTGTGAGCACCTACAAGGATAAGTCATTACAGATGACCACTTGGCACAGATTTTTCACACGAAGACATTTACAGCTGACCCTGGGAAAACTAGCCAATAGATGCTCCACAATTTGACTTGATATTAGTAGGGCACATAGAGTCCAAACAGCCCATTACTAAAGCCTGCTTGGAATCCTGGAATTTATACCATTGCAAAATGCCCTGCTCCTTTTTTATTCACTGATACAGTATACTGGTGTGGCGCTGTAGGGTTAGCACTGGACTGTGAATATCAAGGTCAGCACTCAAACCCACCAGCTGCTCCTCAGAAACACTGTACAGGATCACTGTGAGTCAGAACCGACTCGATGGCACTTAACAACAACACAACAGTCAAAAACAATTATCCATATAGCAGAAGACAACCTTGATTGTCTCAGCAGAACCCATCAGCACAAACCAATAGGGGCCTATTAGTTTCACCTGAGGGAGGGGCATACTTATATCATCTGGGGAATTTTTTTCTTTCAAAATACTACCCTCAGAGTATAAAAAGACTAAGAACCGGAACTCTTACATTGAGAGCATTATTGTGGGGATTGCAATCAATGCCATGAAATAAAATGTGTATGATTTATTGAATGGAAAACCAATTTACTCTATAAACTTTCACCCAAACCCACTGCTATGTAGAGGATTCTGTCCCTATGGTACCCTATAGTAGAGTGTAACTGCTCCATAGGGTTTCTGAGACTGTAAATATTTATGGGAGTAGACAGCCTCATCTTTCTCCCAGATTGGCTGGTGGCTTTGAACCACCAGTCTTGTGGTTAGTAGACCAGCACGTAACCAACTGATCCGCCAGGGCTCCTTGAACTTTTGCCTAAATCAAAATAAAAAGTTTTGGGTTTTTTGTTTTTTTGTTTTTTTTTTGTTGTTGTTGTTGTTGTTGTTGTTTTACTAAGGAAAGAGAAGATGTTCCTTCCCTAGTAGCCCTCACTTTATCTAACTATAGTACCTCAGTAACCCTGTGAGGTAAGTAAAACTTAATTTTCCCTACTTGGCCAATGCAATAACAGAAACAAATGGACTTACCTAAGGTCACATGGATAATCAGTGACAAAGAAGAAAAGGAAATTCTGATTCTGTGGATTCTTGCTTCTCCTTCCACTCTTTGCCCAATATTGACTATGGTAAGTAACACTCCAGTTTCTGTGTCTGTGTACGGTCCTAGGAAACCCCTTACAGGGGCACTATGAGTCGGAACTGACTTGACAGCACTTAACAACAACAATGTGTATAATATCCATAGACTCTATCCAGTCAATGAGGTTTGTTGTCAATGAGAAATATTCATTTAAAAGGCAAGTAACCTAATGGGAATTCAAGTTTTCACTTCCAGTTTGGCAATGACCCCAAATTATGAAAGTGCCCAAACTGGGTGGTTTAACTTCACCGTTAGCTGCAAACTACAACATAATCACACCCTATTTAACTGCCAGGACGAATACAGGTGACAGCGAGGAATTTATAGCATCCTAACAGAAACATCAGGCATCTTGCAACCTTGACAGGCTCAAGGGCAAAACTGGATTTTATTATTAATTCTGAGCTCAATAAAATGAATCAAAATATAAACTGATGTCTAAACATTCTTAACAGATTTTCAGACTGATTCTAACTTTTTTTTTTTCATGCTTTCTCCAGTCTACCTCAAGGAATATATCTTAAGCCCTTTAGCTCTTAAACCCCGGAGGAGGACTTAATCACAAGCATCCTCTGGAGACTTATTCTGCCCATGCACTACCACAAAGGATCCCTGCCTGTAACAGCCAAACAGACAATTACCGAAGCTTGTCACCCTACTGACCTTATCTCCTAAGAACAAATTTCAGAGGAAATGAACAAGTATTTGATAAGCTGTCATGTTCCTTGTAGGCTTGCTGACACACTTTTTTTTTTTTTTTTTCTTTTTCTGAAGAGCTTGGAAATAGATGTGCATTTTTCCACCTTGACTCAGCATCTTACAGGTATATGTTAGCATGGTAATCTGTTTTCTATGGCAAGGATATGACCTTTCTTTTAAGGTGCAAGCTCTTACGTACCAGGAAGTAGCAAGGATGCTCAGGTTAGCAAAGAAAAATGAGGGTAAGGTGTGGAAATTGATAAATAAAAAGCCAGCAATAGAAAGCTTGACAGTAGCAAAATCAGAAAAACACTCGCTTTTTTTCAAGGAATCTGCTCAATAATATAAGATGGCTTTCTTTAATTCTTTTTTTAGTATTTGAATAGTACCTGCCTGAATAATTTTGAAAGGCATATGCTTAGACAAATTAGGTAAATAAAACTTTCTAATACTTTATTAAAATGTGAAAGATCATTAATGATGCAAACAAGCTTTTCCAAAAGAGCTCTGGGAAAGGAACACACAAACATAAGTCATGCATTTAGGATCATCCAGAATGAAGAAATTAGAGGAAAAATTAGTCACACCTATTAAATTTTAAAGTCAGGCTACAAATGAATTAGAAGTTATTTAAACATGCACATGCTATTTTGAGAATCAGCTTTCTGAATTCCTTTACAAGTGAGAATGAGGCTTTTGCTTCTAGAAAGAATCAACTGACTATAACACAGCCTTGTGGTCACTCTCGCCTTCGCACTCTTTTCATTAGCTGCTGTCCAGTCACTTCCAGCTCCCATTGACCTCAAATGTGCAACGTAGAACTGCTCTGTAGGGTTTTCAAAGCTGTGACTTTTCAGAAGCAGATTGCTAAACCAAGCTTCTGAGGCACTTCTGAATGGGTTCGAACCACCAAACTTTCGGCATGTTGGATGCTTAGCCGTTTGAGCGACCTGGAACTCCCATAACAAGCATTTGAAAACTTCAGAAATCAGGTCTTGCCAGCAAAACAGAGAGTAGTGCTGTTTCTTGGCAGTTCACTAATGTTAACCAAGCTCACTAACACTCATGTACAGCTCAGAATTCCAATCCATTCATTTGCAATGAAACTTCCCCTTCTTCTAGGGACTATGGATCTGACTCATTCTGCATCTGAAGACAGATCTACCGACCCAATGGGAACTTCGCTTGTTTAATTGTTTTCTATTATTATTTTCTATTATTGCTTTTTACTGTTATTGTTTTCTTGTCCAACTAGACAGTGTGCTACCTGAGGGCAGGGACAAGGTGTTGGTACTTCTTTACCGCCATTACCCACTATGAATTCTACGAGCCCTGAACCAACTTTACATGTAATCAATCACAAAAGTCATGAAAATATAAATGTGAGAATAAAATGCAAATACACACCACTGCATAAAATTTTGACACTTGAAATTGTTAAAAACTACTGTAGGCATGAACTTTTTGATGCTCTTCTAGGGCTACTTAATAAGGAGGCTGCTTGCCAATCTGTTATTCAGCAGCCAGTTTCCCTTCAAAGTGAGGTTTTACATGCAGTAGTCACAACTGGAGCAGAGGTGATGTACTAGGGGCTTCAAGAAGTTCATGGAAACTTGGAATTAAAAAATAATGGATTTTTTCCACCAGTTTTTGGAAGCCCCTTGGAATTTCAAATCCTGGAGCATCAAATACAATACCAATTTTAGAACATTTTTAACCTAAAAATACAGGATTTAAGGCTCCAGAGCCTTGTTGGCCCATTGGTTAACTACTAATGGAAAGGTTGGTGGTTCAAATTCACCCAGTAGCTCTGTGAAAGAAAGACCTTGTGATCTGTTCCCAGTGATCTGCTCCAGTAAAGATTACAACCGTAGGAACTCTATGGGTAGTTCTACTCTGTCACATGGGGTCTCTGTGAGTCAGAATCTACTTGATGGCAACCAACAACAACAGAATTCCAGTTTGGTTTGTAAATTTCACTGTCCAATATCAGAACATTCAGTAAGAAGTTACTGTCAGAATTAAACAGAAATTCATCACTCTTTATCTAGCTCTTGTTCTGGCACATAGTGCACAATTCTAAAAATCCCCAAAGAGCCTATGACAGCGTAGCTAGCGGAAAGTATGATACCCAATATAGAACCACACATGGCAAAGACATACACAAAGTCCTCACCATACAATCAAGCAAGACATTTTAAAATCAGTAACTATCAAATAATATTTCACTAAGATTGGTGCCTTTGACCAAAAAGAGGATTATTTTTATTTATATTTAGCAAGAATTAACATTAATCTTTTAAAAGCATCCATTACGCTTTAGATTGTTCCCCATTTGCAAATATAATGACTGAGAATAGCCCAATGGATTTTTCCCCTCGATCCTCATTTTAGAGCTCCACATTATCTACAAAGTCCATTTCCGTTTTCACATCATGCTAGATGCTTCCATTACAGGACTATGATGGCTTTAAAAATGCAGCTGTAGCTCACTCAGCTGTATGATCAACAATATACAGACGCAGTAGATATTTAAATTATTGAAACTAAAGCGCAAGGTGTTTTCTTTTTCTTCATGGTGCTTTCAGGCCAACATCAGGGTTTCCTCTTCTCCCTAAAGAAAAACCATTTAAAAATCAACAAAAGATCAACTTACAAACTAGGAAAATTACAAGTTAACTCAAACTTTGTTGTGGTGCACCACTGAGTGAGTCATTCCAACTCATATCAACCCTATATGATCTAGGAGAACTGCCCAATAGGATTGCCCAGGCTATAATTATTTCAGGAGTAGATTACCAGGTTTTTTCTCTCATACAGCCACTGATGGATTCAAATCAATGATGTTTCAGTTTGCAGTTGAACACTTAACCTTTGTATCACCCGTGCTCCTTGACTCAAAATTAGAATCATGAATTCTACAAATGCAGTAGAATCACAATGATACAGACAACTAGTACTTAAGACTGAATTACATATGTTGTTGTTGTTGTTAAGTGCCATCGAGTCGGGTCCGACCCATAGCGACCCTGTACAGGGTTTCCGAGGGTGTAAATCTTTATGGGAGTAGAAAGCCTCATCTTTCTCCCGCGGAGCGGCTGGTAGTTTCGAACCACTGACCTTGAGGTTTGCAGCCCGATTCGTAACCACTACGCTACCAGAGCTCCTTGAATTACATATAGATATATAGATATATGGAGACCTGAAGTGGTGCTGTTGCATAACACTGCACCGCTAACCACAGGATTGGTGGTTCAAACCCACCAGCCACTCCTTGGAAAACCTACAAAGAGTTGCTATGAGTCGGAACAGACTCAACAGCACTTAACAACAACAAGAATATATATATACATACACACAAATACGGAGGTTAAAAAAACAATTAGCCTATTTTGATTTAGTGTTCTATTTACATTTCTATTATAAAGGCTAACTATTCAATAATTTCATTCACCACTTATGTCTAATTGTCAGTTTATGCCTGAGTCTGGTCCCTGTCAAAAAAAGGATATAACAATTAATTTTCTTTTGTCATAAAATTTATTCTTTCAATCAAGGCACATCCTCTAACTCCAAACAAGTATCTAACACCTTTCAATAAAGAAAGAAATAATCACATTTCAGATTGGTGTTGTTGTTAAGTGCTGTTGAGTTGGTTCTGACTCATAGCGACCCTGTATAGGGTTTCCAAGGAGTGGCTGGTGAGCTTAAATTGCCAACTTGAGGTTCAAAACCAATTTTTCAATCCAGCACCCACATTGCTGTTGTTGTTGTGAAGTGCCGTCGAGTCGGTTCCGACCCACAGCACCACATTGCTGTTGTTGTTGTGAAGTGCCGTCGAGTCGGTTCCGACCCACAGCGACCCTGTGTAGGGTTTCTGAGGAGTAGCTGGTGAGCTTGAACCACCGACCTTGCAGTTCAAATGGCTTTGCAATCGGGTGCATTAACCCACAGCGCCTCATTAGGACTCCACATATCAGATAGTTGCAGACATTAGCTGGTATTCTGTCTCTAGCTTGATACATAGCCTAAAATAGCTTTGTAGAGATGTAAGAAATCGTGGCAGTGTAGTAATAAAGTCTACTAAGTTGATATTCTTTACTACAGTAAAATTTAATTTATTCAAGTACCACAAAATCAGAAATCAGGATCATGTGGGCCAGACTAACATTAGCTTTTACATATCTGAAGAAAAAGAATTGACTAAGTCAAAGTAAAGGCCAGTCCAGGTGTTCTCTGAACCACCCAATATTTCAAGTTGTTGTAATTGTGTGCTGTCGAGTCGGTTCCGACTCATAACGACCCTGAATGTGGTTTCTGAGGAGCAGCTGGTGAGTTTGAACTGCCAAACTTGTGATTCAAACCGATCTTGCAGTCCAGTGCACTTCATAATGTCTAAATTAGTGAGGTGAAATGCTATTTATGTATCTACAAAAGAGGCTGGGGGACGGGGGGGTCAAGATGGGAGAAAAAAATAAGTTACACTTGAGTCAAATCCTACTCATAGCAATCCTGTGGAGAAGAGTAGAACTGTCCCCCATAGGACTGCTTAAGATGGCATAAACCAAAAACCAAACCAACTCATAGCAACACTATATGGTTGGTTGGTTGGTTGGTTGGTTGGTGGTATGCCGTGGAGTTGGTTCCGACTCATAGCGACCCTACACAGGCTTTCTGAGGCTGCAAATCTTTACGGGAGCAGAAAGCCTCATCTTTCTCCCACGGAACAGCTAGTAGTTTCAAACTGACGACCTTGAGTTTAGCAGCTCGATTCTTAACCACTACGCTACCAGAGCTCCTTAGCGGGGTGTCTTCAAATGGGACTAAACCAAAAACCCACTGCCATGGAGTCGATTCTGACTCACAGCAACCTTATTGGACAGAGTAGAATTGTTCCTTAGGGTTTTGAAGACCAAATCTTTAAGGGAGTAGACAGCCTTGTCTGTTTTCTGTGGAACAGCTGGTAAGCTTTGAGCTGCTGACCTTACAGCTAGCCCAACATTTAACCCACCACACCGTCAATGCTCCTTGGGGGTTAAAATACTGTGGGCTCATAGAATTTTTGGTATTTTTGCAGAACTTTATAAAAGTTTACAGTATGTTACTGTTGTCTTGAGCTGTTTCCAACTCATAGTGACTCCATGTGTTACAGAGTAGAATTGCTCCATAGCGTTTTCTTCATGGAAGCAGATTGCCACACCTTTCCTCTGTAGTGCTTCTGGGTGAGTTGAAACTACTGACTGGTTACCAGCCAAGCGCAAGCTGTTTGTGCTCCCCAAAGTATCATGAAAAGGATATAGTATAGTACATTGAAATCACAGCCTGTAAATAAATAGTCATCTCTCTCTCTGGCTATATCAACTTTCTCACTCTTTTTCTTACAGAAATTCCTACAACTATATGGTTATGAATAAGTTAACTCATAACTGAGCTTCCAAGCCTTATCAAAAATTAACCATAAACCATACCTGTAGTACCTTGTGGGCTTCTAGCAGAGGGCTTCTCAACCGGATACTGCAGAGGTATTACAATGCCTTGATCTGGCTTCTGAAATGCTGAAATTAGATTTTTTATTTTCCGGAAAAATCTTTTATGTACCCCAGGAGCTGTCTGGAAAATAAAAGGCCAAGCAAATTATTCATCTCCTTTATAACAAGACCCCCCAAAATCCTACAAAATGCATGAGGAATGCTTAAAAAGGTACCATTTGTACAACTTGTTCAAATATTTGAAAACATAAGGAAGGAGGAAAAACAACATTCCAGAAGAGCTTACTTTGGTTGGCTGAATTTCCCTGCCAGAGGAGCTAATGAGCTGTCATTTCAGTTCTCCCAAGGGTAGTATTAGTTTGCACACTCTCTTGCTCCTCGCCCTGCCCTTCCTGCCTGCTACCCATCATACATACCGAACCTCTAAGGGTACACAGGCCATTACCCACAATGAATTCACCAACAGACAGGATGCAGTTAAACACAGAGAAAAACAAAAAACAAATCCTACAGGTCATTAATAAAAAAAGCCTAAGGAACCAAAACAAAAAACCAAAACAAAAGAAAACAACAAGCCATCCTCCCAGTCATCATTGCACCACATAAAATGCTACACAGGAAATTAAAAATTGACTTGTGATACACACAATGCCCGGCTAGTAGTCACACACACACTTTCTCACTTCACAACAGGTACTGCTTCATCCTTCTCATTAATTGCTTTCCTTCTTGAGAAACTTCCCTATCCTTCCTCAAACTGCTCTTTCCTTGAACACTTCATGACAAGACTTTCTCTACGAAACAAAAATAAAAGATTCTAAAAGATCACCTTTATGATTTATTTGTCTGTTTTTAAAAAGGTCATTATTTTCAGGTGACTATTAAAATGTATTCCTTCCATGACATCCATTCTCTTGCAAAAACACTCGCAACAATTCCCTGCAAAACTTGTAAGCCAAGCTTCAGGCATCAGCTCGAAACTGTCATTTTAAATGAAACAAAACAGTATTGCTATGAGCAATTGTACAATGACTAGGTTTTCGGTTTGGGGTTTTTTGTTCTTTTTTTTTTAGAAAGTTGTTTTTCAGCTATTCCGTCTGGGAAATTTTTGAGGTGGGAGTTGTTTGTTTTTTAACACTTAATGAGAAAACGTGAAGGCTGGCATGCAGGCTTCTGTCAATTAGACTGAAAAACTAAAGATAACACACTGCTCATAGTAAGTCTTGGTCATTTCCTACATTGGCGTAAGTCATTTTCCATGGATAACAATGCAAATGGCTCAATAGAATGTTCTTTGGCGTTTTAGTGTTCACCCATAGGAGTCCCAGAGAACATTCTTCCATCTAGCTCCATCCTTGTTGTCAAAACATTTTTCCAACATTCTATTGAGATCTCATCCAAAATAAACCTTGGACCTCCTTGCAGAGTCCAAATAGTTCTTTGGGCTACTAAATTGCAGCTACAAATTGCAGAAGTACGTTATTGCCATAGAATGATTCCTTATGCCTTTTTTAGAGCTTTTTTTTTTTTTTTTTCGTTTTCCAAGTACTTTCCCATCTCTTGCCCACCTCTTTCCTCACAGACCAGCAGTTCTTGGCTGATTCACTTCTCTTCGTTTGACAGATAAGAAAATGGAAGTACAAAAGATTAATCAGTTTGCCCAAGGCCACAGAGATAACAAGGAACACAACTGGCACTTGATCCCAGGACCTGGTCTCTTGCCTTTCAGATTAGGACTACGCCAAACAGGTTCTAACAAAGCTAGACCCCAGTGTATAGAGAAAGTATACACTCATTCCTCCTTCATTGGAGAAAGATTTCAAACCAAACAGCTTTTTAGCTGTGCTTGTGGCTTGTAAAACCATATCAACAGGGGCATCATTTTTATGCAATTAACACTTGATTAGCCATACTAACAGAGAAGAATAATAGTACTGACTGTATAAAAGCAATTTGAAAAATTGACCTAATTTATAGTGTTCTGCTTAAATTAATAAGTAAAATTATTTAGCATCTACTGATACTCAGATATCCACAGAACCCCAAAGGCACTGAAGTCAGCAGGGGAAGATCAGTCTGGAGAACTGCTGACAAGGCATATATGATAACTGTATATAGAATTTTCTAAATTAACTATAATATAGTAGAATTATCATTTGAAACACATGACTGAATTACTACACTAGATAATAATCCAATCTAAAACTAGAAATACACATAGTATTTGTCTTTCATAATTCAGTCACTCCAGAGTTCTTTTTCATTCCACTCTTTACAACAACTTCCAGACTTTCTTATATTTCCAGCACAATCTTTGTACAGACAGCAGAGTGCTGCTATAATGATTTGTCTTGCAGTGTGGCAAACTAAACATTGCTCCGAAAAGCAATATAAATATCTATCATTTACCCAATTATGAAAATAACTTTACCACAAGAATTGCACCACTGACAACTCCCATCCTGTCGCTGAACTCGGCTAGTGTTCAAATTTGCACATTTCTCATACTGTCACCTCTGAGTTCTCCATGGAAACATGTTTTGGATCACAGCTGGTCTTCAATATGCTCTAGAGAAAGTTCTTTTAGTAAGGTGGCATGATTTCTGAGAACACATACTAATTTAATATTCACCTAAGCAAAAACATAACTAAGAAGGCAAATTTAGTAAATGGAAAGAGATGCAATATGCAGTCTCAAAATAGATCCAAAGACTTCCTTGAACTGTTTTCCATTTGGGGCTAATCCATGCCAATCTTCTGCTCTCTTAGTGCAGATAATTGTAATATTATATCAGTAGGGTTAAGTCAGACAACAGGGCAAGGGACCATTCATGTTTAGTAAACTCTGTCTTCCTTAGCATCATCACAAAGCATAGAACTAGCTGCATATGATGTTGCATTTATAACAGAGGAAAGCAAGTTTAAAACCCAGGTTGCTAAAGCCTAAGAATTTGGGATCCCTTCCATAAAGAATATTCTTCAGTAGCTGAAGGTTACTACTTTCCTAAGGGAAAGGGTTATTTCTGGTCAAATTATATACAAATGTCTATATATTATACACAAATTTTCTTCATCGCAAATGAAGTTTGATGTCTTATTAAATCATCTCAACAGTGCTGCAGATAATTAAAAAAAAAAAAAAACAACCAAACAGATACAGTTGTAATTAGAAATGGTCCCGCTTTTCCTCTAATCAGTACCACAGTAGTAGTTGTCTTAATGTAAGGCAGCAAGGTGTTTGAAGACTTGTCCTAGTTCATCTTAGTAGTTCAAAATATTTGTAGCCCACAATTTGTGTATGCCAGCTCATGGATGAATTTAGTTTTAAATATAGCAATTTTAATTCTTTTTAAATCTAGACTTTAAAGTTCTTTAAATGCATAGATTGATTGAGCTATTACTAGGGGCTGATTAGCATTTGTGTTTTCAAACAGTTCATAGTGAAAGTGTTTTATTATAAAGACTGGCTGTTTTAAAGAAAGCATTTGAGGTTGAAAGTTTTAGTTGTAGAGACTTCTACATTGGTAAGCTATAATACATTACCCTGGCTCATGAAAATAAATTCACTCTACAGACATTTCTTGGAGTGGTACAGTGGCTTTTTAAACATTTTTAAAGCAGTAGAATCTTTTGTTCTAATGAAATCCTACTCAGAGTCCCAGTTTATAAGCAAAATAAAAGGAAACTGCACAGATTGAAGTCAGGCTGCGAACCAAAAACGTACCTCCCCTTCTCCCCTGCAGTCCCCCAGGTAGAAGAACTCTAGGATTCTGTAGAGCATAGTTAAGAAGGCATTGCAGTGTTCTTTCATCTCTAGTCCACATAGCCAAGTACTGCCCACGTGATTCACTCTGCACATAAAGCAGCCCTTATTACCCTAACCAATGGAAAAACCCTCCCTTCTCTAAACTCCTATGCTAGTTAACTTACACGTTGTCTAGATTCAACCTTATATTCGTCAGCAATTTGTGAGCTCTTTCTTACTACATGCCAGGTCGTGTGGCTACGAGCTTCCTTTATATGTATTATCTCATTTAATCCTCAGTGAGGTTTATTATACAGATAAAGAATCTGGGTCACAGAAAAGCTAAATTGCCTGCCCAAGGTCATAAAGCTAGCAGGGAGGGGTGGGCGGACCAGACGTAGAACCTAGATCCACCCATTACTAGTATATTATAGGTCCTCGTGTGACGCTGTGGGATAAAGCGACCATAAGGTCGGCTTGAACCACAGGGTCAGTGGTTCAAACTCACCAGCTGCTCCTTGGAAACCCTATACAGGGTGGCTATCAGTCAGAACATCCTCAAAGGCACTTAACAACAACAACAAGGAAATAGGAGTCATGTTGTTTAATCTCCTCCCTTACCTCATCCTGTGGAACCAACCTTGTAATAGTATCATTCAGCAAATTATTGTTGGTGTGATCATTTCACATATTTAATGATATTTGATACACTTTCTAAAATCCAGATAGGCACTGTAAGTTTGGCACAATCGTTTAGCTTTTAAAAATCTTTTCACCAAAGTCAAACCCTCTATACCAAGGTGACCGGACAAGACTAGAATCCTTCTCTCAAGTGACCATGTGAACAATTTTGGATTGGGGCTTTAGTGAATTGAATCTGATGAGGATTTTGGTAATTGGTGATTGAATTTTACTTTCATAAACCCAGCCTAATTACAAACACCTCCCTGAATCCCACAGAAGCAAAAATAAATAATAAAAGAGCTATACCTCAGCACTCCAAGAACCTGTTTCTGTCTGGGACACTCGGTATGTATAAATGTAACCTTGATACCTGTGAAAGAATAAACTTCCATTACTGAAAAATTCCAAAAGAACAATGGATGCACTCGATTTGAACTTACCATTACATATAAATGTGATGTAGAGGGGCACACACAGATACGTCACCTTTGCAGTCACAGGAAGAAAACTTGGTAGCTCTAACTTGCTTGTTAAATCTGGAATTGCCTAATTACAATTCCAGAGTCCTGGTGTGGTGCCATGGGTTAATGTGCCAGACTACAAAGCCGTTTGAACTGCAAGGTCGCCGGTTCAAGCTCACTAGCTGCTCCTCGGAAACCCTATACAGGGTCACGATGGGTCGGAACTTACTTGACGGCACTTAACAACAACCACAATTCCAAGTCTACCTTTTCTTTCATTTTTATTTTTTTTTGAAACGTGGTTCGCTCATACTCCCAAGGAACTGATCTGTCCATGAAAGACTAGACAGAGGAAATAAGGGCTTGCTGTAATTGGTCAAAATTACAGACTGAATTATTAAACAGTCGTAACAGATTGTAGTCTTGTTATTTTTCAGTGCATATAAAGCATTGAACTCAGAAAAATATTTCACTGGGTTAAGAGACTACTGTCAGGCTTACTTGTAAGTAACAATATTAATTATCATATCAATTATATAGTAATACAATGTTACTATGATGATAAACAGCAGTTCAAGCTCACCAGTCGCTCCTCAGAAACCCTATACAGGGTCTCTATGGGTCGGAACTGACTCAGCGGTACTTAACAATTAACAACAAATGATGATAAATGGAGTTGTCGTGTGGCACTGTAGGATAAGCCCTGGACTGCAACTTCAAGGTGGTTGGTTCAAATCCACACGTCTCTCCTTGGAAACCTTGTACAAGGTCTCTATGAGTCAAAACTGACTCAACATCACTTAACAACAACAATGATAATATATAGGCGCTTTGGTGGTGCAGTGGATTAAGGGTTGGCTGCTAACTGCAAGGTCAGCAGTTCAAACTGCTTCTGGGGAACTGCTAGTAAGTTCAGACCACCAGCATTTTGATTAACAAGCCAGTGCTTGACCATTTCATTACCAAGGCTCTTATGAGGGGAAAAATGGAACTAAAAGATACTGTGATTTTCCCGTGAACTTTTTGAAGTCCACTCATATAATAATATATTGTTGTTGTTGTTGTTGTTAAGTCCTGTAGAGTTAGTTCCAATTCATAGCTACGCTGTATAGGGTTTCCAAGGAGCAGCTGGTGAGTTTGAACCACCGACCTTGTGGTACAAATCGACATTGAGGTTGAGTGCTTATCCTACGGCGCCACACGAGCATAATATAACAAAATATGATATGGAGTCCTGGTGTGGTGCCGCAGGATAAGCACTGTTGTTGTTGTTAAGTGCCGTGGAGTCGGTTCTGACTCATAGTGACCTACACAGGGTTTCCGAGGCTGTAAATCTTTATGGCAGCAGAAAGCCTCATCTTTCTCCCGAGGAACGGCTGGTAGTTTCAAACTACTGACCTTCAGGTTTGCAGCCTGATTAGTAACCACTACGCTACCAGAGCTCCTAGGATAAGCACTAGACCACTAAATAATTGTAAGGTTGGCAGTTCAAACTCACCAGCTGCTCCTCAGAAACCCTATACCTACCTGGTCATTATGAGTTGGAACCGACTTGACGCCACTTAACAATAACAACATGATGTAATAGTAATTTGAATAAAGAGGAGTGCTGCTAAATAACTTTAAAGCAGCTTGTCAGTGGTTATGAATCGGGCTGCAAACCGCAAGGTCAGCAGTTCGAAACTACCAGATGTTCCACGGAAGAAAGATGAGGCTTTCTGCTCCCGTAAAGATTTACAGCCTCGGAAATCCTGTACTGGGTCACTATGAGTTGGAACCGACTCCACAGCACATAACAACAACAAAACGCTGTTACTTGATGGTTCTGCAAGGTAATGCACTGGACCGCAAAGGTGAGTTTGAACCTCAAGGTCTGCAGTTCAAACCCACCAGCCACTCCTCGCAAACCCTATACAGAGTCGTTATGAGTCGGAAACAACTCCACGGCACTTAACAAAAACAACATTTATTTCTACTACGCCAAGACTTTCATATGCATTATCTTTTTGGAACTCCAAAACAATTAATCCTATAAGCCTTATCTTGTGAGATTCATTTTAAAGATGAGGAAATTGGAGACTTTGAGAAGTTATAAAAACCACCCTTAAAGGACAAGTAGCAAAGCTAGGATTTGACTCTAGAGCTCCAGTTCTTGAGTTTCGCACTGCAGTGTGTATATATGATTTTAACTATTTTACTATATTTGGTTGTTGTTGTTTGGTGCCATCAACTTGACTTTGACTCATACCGACCCTAAGTACACAGAATGAAACAGTACACAGTCCTACATCATCGTCACAAAAAAGTAGGCATGAGACTGCAACTTCATTTGCCTAGCAACCTTTTACTTCACAGAAAAGTAAACTTTAGACTGAATTATTTCAGAATATGAATCTGAGCTGACTCAATGGGCTTTTATTTAATACATTTTTCAGACTCTTATTCTTGAACACATACTTGGGTCAATATTAATGTTTGATTAGACGAGATCAGACGCATTTAGAGTGGTATGGCCATAGACTAATCTTTGATTTAGGACCTCCAGTAACCTCTGGTTAAAATAAATGTGATTAGGAGAACAAACAAGATGGCGGATCGGGTGGATGTATAGCAGAGAGCTCCGCCAACAACAACACAGAATACCCG